GGGCTTTTAATTTGCTTTACAGGTGTACAATTATGACTCATTTACACCAAGATCTCTGCAAACAGATTAAGAAGTATATTATGCAGGAACTTTGACTCATGTATGCAATTTATTAGCTTAAAAAGTAAAGGTTGATCAGTTTTACTCTAAATTCTAACCTAGTAATGTTGTAGCCTAAATTATTTTATTGGCTCCATATGCATACAAATGCATACAGGTTTGATGATCATATCATCCAAGGAACTATTCCTTTAAAAGTATTTTGGCAGAATTCATTGTTATTCAATTATTTAATCTTTCAAAACTCATACCATCAAGAGGTATGTATTAAAAGCCATTACGTCATGCAATTAGAGGGACATGAGTCTTACAGGGATTAAATTTGCCGTAAAGATGGTAGAACTACATGTATTAATTGCTATCTAAATGCTGAAATATTCAAATTAATCTTGCATAAATAGAGCACAGTGCTCTTAAACACGTCATACTAAAAGCAAATGGGATGTTGGGTTACTAATTATTAGTCTCAATTGCAGCCGACATAAGTTCCACAATGAAGTGTGAATACAGCTCAATCTTGTTTGGGTCTAGAGTGAAGTGAAATCTAATTGGTTGCAGCTGTGCCGAGTGCCAGTTACAGTGATGAATCCTAAGAACGTGACTGGCACCACTGTGTACATTTCATCCCTTGAGTATTCCCTCTCCAGCTCGTGCTGATAGCAAGTCTTTGACATTACGGGGCCAAGCTGGCCATATTATTGAAATCATTTAAAATGACTAATTGCTAATTTAGCGTTAATCTAATAGCAGAGTACAAGTTGCCAATCTAAATACATGCAAACACATTCATGACTTATTTTTCAAAGGCCATTCAATTTTGCACACGTAATTCACAATAGAAATGAGATATCTTCAAAGTACAACATCTGTAAAAATATGACACAATATACGCTGTCGGAAAATGATGACTAAAGCAAATGGTTTTCTGGTATTGTGCCAGTCTTTACTCAGGCTGTGTAAACAGTTGCCAACAACAGTTAATAGCAGTTTCATTTCACACTGTAAACTATTTTTTCTTCCTAATGAAATCTTAAATACAGCCATCGCTAAAACCTCTCAACGCCTCATAATAGCTTTTAGAGGCAACAGTGGAAACAGTTGTAGCATTTAATGCAACATGCTAATATCATGTATCACTAGTTAAATAGTTCTCCATCCACTTGCACAACCTGGCTGTGGCAAAATGAAAAAAAGAAGGCTAAGCTGGAGAATTATTCCTGTGTACTTTTACTGTCAATAAAACATTTAAGGATGCGCTTCAAGGTCCTAATCAGCAATGCAGGGTAGTTCGGCTCAATAGACCAAATCTTTTATCATGACCTCTGCTTAGCAGTTTGTACCAGACACAGCGAGGGGCAGGAGATGCTAATAGTGCTCAGTGAGTCTCTGGAAACAAAACTCAATCTCCTAATAAATATATGCATAAAACGAAAGTAAAAGATTTAGACAAACCCAAACAATGTGCTAAGAATGAATCGTCTGTAATTCAAATCTCTTCTCAGAGTAAATACAACGACTGTCCTTTGTCACTCAATTCTACCATGAGACAAACAACGAGCATTTCAATATCGAGAGCTCCATCACTGCAGCAACAGTGCCCTCCCAGCTTAGCAGGGGGGCTCAGATGGAGAGAGAATGCTTTAACACAATGAATCGAGGCACAGATAGCAGGGCAAGGCAACACTGGAGATGGGGCTGTCAGTCATCTTGCAGCATGCTTCCAGCCATGATCATTAGACGAAATCAAACGCCTGAAATACACTAAGATGAAGACCATAATGGAGTTGTCCTCTTTGTAGCCACATGCAACCAAAGAAAGAGCCTCCATCTTGTCTGAATTCGAATAAATCACACACTCTCTCTCTTTTCCAATGGACACCTGTAGGTTTGAGTCTCACTGAGCACCCATATTCACTGCTGCACACTAAGGGTAATAAGGCAGCAAAATATCGGCCGAGCTCAGATATTCCTTTCAAAGTGAGCAGAAGGGACTGGCTATAGAAGTGTGCCATGCTTTAGCAGCAAAATATAGCATCAAATCAGTTATTCTCTATGTACTGTGGAAAGTGTTGGTTCAAGGCTTGGAGCAAAAAAGTGTCTTAAAGAAGTTCAAAACCACTGCATGATTGAGTGGCTGCCGCTGCACAAAGTAGCTTGGGCTGCAGCCTGTGAGCACCTTTGAGCTGCTTTACTTAGCAATTCACACAAAGGGTCCTAACAGTTAGAGGGGTATTTGGCTGAGAACAATACAGCAACAGTGCTAAGAAAGTATTGTTCATACGGAAATATATCTGGACAGCCAGATAGCAAGAAAGACAGATTCCCTTCCTCTTCTTGTTTTTTCTTCTTCTCCACCTTATGTTTTACTTCATTTCCAAGAACTGCAATGTTATTATTTATTTGAAAGCCACTGCAGCTTTTTTGATGCAGGGTCCATTTTACACTGGGCTGAATTCACTTTGATGGTCATTTCTATTCCATTACAACGAATGAAACTCAGTAAGATTAAAACCACCATCCATATATGCATCATTTACTATTACAGAATCAAAACCGCCAAATGTCATCGTCATATCACAAAGGATTCTAAGAACGAAGGAAATCAGAAAGAAAAGGCTTTTAAGTGCTAGAAGAACGTTGCACAAAAATAATCAACACATTCTTCATTTGAGCATATTTGTAACAGCAGTGCATGTGAGAAAACTCAATTTGTAGCATAATGCATTCTGGCGTGTGTTGACATTGCCAAAACCGCTAAATCTATTAACCTTGATGTCAAAGTGAAGGTGTGTGTCAAAACCTGTGAGCTCACATGATAACAACAACTTGTCTAGCAGGAGTCCATTGCACACATACAACCGCATTTTATTGATGAAACATACCAGAGCTTAAATTTAAAAGGCTAGAGGAAAAACAACAATCATCCTCTTTCTACACCATTAAGAATTTATTAGGAGGATAAAACTAGCTGTGAAAATACACCTTCAGTATCTTGCTTTTGCCTTGGAAGCTTGGCACGTTTCAACAGTCAACAGAGCAATAGGTTGACAGCTGTCCCTAAAGCATTGCAAGCTGGAAACAAACATGAACTGGAATATTTAAAGATGATGACATTTGTGCTTGCTCATGAATATGACTGCTTGAGAACTTGCACGGCTGTATGGCAAACAAAGAAGCAATGTCTCTGTGGTTAGTCAACCTCATATGACGTATTCAGGCATTTCAAGTGAAATGACACAAGACAGAAGTAAAATCTTATGGATTCCACCCCTCAAGAATATACAGCACTGATTACTTGTATTAGTGTTTTTTCACTAACTAACTAACTAACTAAGATATAGGACCATGCTAATATGTAATCTTGTTAAACAATTTGCTATTAAAAATACTTATATAAAATATTTAGGAACCAATATGTTTGTACATTTGTATTTTAAATTTTCCAATATTTATGTCTGAGCAAAAACAAATAAACAAATAAATAAACAAACAAACAAAAAACTACTGTCTTCACAAATGAGGTGAAAGTGGTGTCGGCCGCTAGGTGTCAGCCTTGTGACTTTAAACACGATTTACCCTCAACATGCTGTCATGTGTGCACATGACTCCTGACTCTTTGTGCGTGTTCATAAGCCAGATACTAAGGAATTTAAAAATATAAACACGCGCAGTATAACCTATGCTATAGACTGACTAGGAATATTCAGTCACAAAAAAGCAAAAACAATAACAAAAAACAAAAAGTTCACTAATAATAATAATACAAATAATATTGTCATTATTATTTATAATATTATTATTACCTAAATCTCATAGCATTTCATATCATGTTACGCCCGAGCGCGCCTTTATGTCTGTGTGTTTGTGTGTCAGAGGAGAGAGAGAGAGAGAGAGAGAGAGAGAGAGAGAGATTGATATTATGTTGTGGTCGTTATCTGTGATGGAAACGAAAGGCAGCTCCCTGAAAGATTCGCAATTAGCGCATGATCCAAACGCAAACAGTAGTGTTTATATAGTGCTCCCATTCTTGGGCATGTATGTCATTAATATTTCTTAACACGGCTATTGCCATATTTAATCACTAGAACTAGCGCAACACGTGAATAACCTTTAATATCTTATTAAATCTCGTACAGACAAGTCAATAAATACGTACTTGCCGAAAGTAAACGTGTTAGGTGTATTATGACGTGGATAGGCTACTCAGATCTGACGGATCTAAAATTAGGCAGCAACATTCATATTTTTACTATCAAATAATACAACTGATGTTCTGTGTGCGGAAGGGTCATTTCTGTCAGCCGAATAAATAGGCTTAGGCTATAGCTGCACCCAGCGGTCAAGAAAATATCAAATTAATTAATTTGGAATATATTGATTATAAATCATTAAACCCATCATTATCATTACCATATTCTAAATTAGGGTCAACTTAAATCTAGACCAAATTAAGCTACGTCGAGAACAAAAAAAAAAAGTTTATGGAGGAAACCATGGTAACAGCAGGCCACTGGAGAGCCTTGTCGGACGAAACATTAACCAAAACAAATAAAAGAAATCCAATACTTTTTTAATAGCCTATATATTTTTTTAGATCGGGAAAAATATATAACCTAACAAGAACTTGGTGTTTTGTTTAAAAAGACAATATCTGTGCCGCGTGAACCTAAACTAATGGCGCCCCCAGCATTTCTTACGGAAATTCCTTATAAAAAAGGTTACCCTCCCAAAAGTCAATAATTATGTTGACAAACTGTATGTCCAGACATAACTAAAAAGGATAACATACACTGCGTTGCGTGAACTAGAGCTGGCTGGCCGAGTTCATAGCTGCAGTTTTGCCCCACCCACCAGCAAATCCAGCTCTCCAGTGTAACCTCTGATTGGCTGTGGGGATTGCGGGTCCTGAGACTGAGCGCGAGACACTGAGCTGTGCATTCGACAGTATGCGTTGAAGATGCGCGCCGTGCGTTTACCTCAGTGAGCCACATTTAAGAACTATATCAAGAACTATTTCGTTTCATCCAGAGGCTGGATATTTCAGACCGGACGCTTTTATTACGGCGAGAAGAGCCCAGCTTTACTTGCAAATGCTTGATTTTTCTTCACTGATCTTTTCTCAGTGTTTTATACGGATTTAGTTTCTTTCTTTCTGGACTAAGGCCAGCTGAAATACCTTCATACAAGAAATTTACGCTTGTTGAGAGAAATCTTCAGTGGACAAGGCACCCACGTCTTGCTCGACTGGGAATATCAGTGAATTGTGGACTGGACTGATATTTAATTAATATTGGTTTTCCACATTGTTCCAGTTTCAAAGACCGTTTCCCTTTTTTTTCGGAATCTCTGTTGTTTCAGTTGGATATGTGCATGGACATAAATGCGGATCAAGGAGGAGACATCCTAACTTCACATTATTATATGGATTGATTGAGCACGAACGATGTTTTAAACTCAATTTCAGGCGTTTCAAGTGTTCGTCACGAATCATGATACCGAGAGCAAATATTTTTGAATTGGATCCTTCCTTTCATTCATTCACAAGTTGAGGACCTTCCAGCGGACATTTAGCCTACATTTTTACTGAATAAATATTTTTTTTCACTGGCTCAAAATGGTCGGTTTACATCTCGGTTACCCTGAATTACGCAAATGTTCATGTTGAAGCCATGTTTTTCGTTCACAATGTTTTCACATTCTCTATATGAAGAATTATTCACCAGTTTTCTTCGTATTTCCCCCCCCCAAAAATAATGGAAGACATGGGTGGCCTGATAAGATTTCGATAAAGTAAATGGAAGTTATCAACTGCGTAATCAGTAAATCAGATGAATATCATCGCAGATATAAACATTTTGTTCATTTTAAAGGATGCCTACCAGACTGTGAATTTATTCCTTTGACTTATTGGGAGTTTTTTTTGTACGTCCGACCGAACGTGCATAAGTTTAAATGTTAATAAAAAATCATGCAAATGAGCGTGTGAAGGCAGACATCAACAGGTATAATGCATTCCAAGGACATGGATTTCTTACAAATGTTTTTCTGCTTTCTCTTGTGCTGGACTGGAGTCGATGCCGTTTACAATTTGAAATACACCGTGGAAGAAGAGCTGCGTGCAGGCACAAAGATAGCCAATGTGACGGCGGACGCAAAAAATGCGGGTTTTGCACTGGGAAACCGACAGCCTTATTTGCGGGTTATCTCCAATTCCGAGCCGCGATGGGTTAATCTGAGCCCCGCAGGACTGCTCATCACAAAGCAAAAAATTGATCGGGACGCTGTTTGCCGACAGACAGCGAAGTGTTTTATTTCGTTGGAGGTGATGTCAAACTCGATGGAGATCTGCGTGATTAAAATTGAGATTATCGACGTAAACGACAACGCGCCCCGCTTCCCCACCAACCACATTGACATAGAAATCTCGGAAAACGCCGCTCCCGGTACCAGATTTCCCCTAGAGGGGGCAAGCGATCCGGACTCCGGGAGCAACGGCATTCAGACGTACACAATTACCCCTAATGATATTTTCGGTCTTGAGATTAAGACGAGGGGGGACGGGTCCAAAATCGCAGAACTTGTGGTGGAAAAGACTTTAGACAGAGAGACGCAGTCTCGTTACACGTTTGAACTCACCGCGGAGGATGGTGGAGACCCCCCAAAGTCTGGGACCGTGCAACTTAACATCAAAGTCATTGACTCGAACGATAACAACCCCGTTTTCGATGAGCCAGTATACACTGTAAACGTGCTGGAGAATTCTCCCATAAGCACCTTAGTCATAGACTTGAACGCCACGGACCCAGACGAAGGAACCAATGGCGAGGTGGTCTACTCGTTCATAAACTTCGTGTCCAACCTGACAAAACAGATGTTTAAAATCGACCCCAGAACAGGCGTGATAACAGTGAATGGCGTTTTGGACCACGAGGAATTGCCCGTCCACGAAATTGACGTACAAGCCAAAGATCTGGGTCCAAATTCAATCCCTGCCCACTGCAAAGTGATTGTTAATGTAATCGACATCAACGACAACGCGCCAGAAATCAAACTGTTGTCAGAAAACAGCGAGATGGTAGAGGTGAGCGAAAACGCTCCTCTCGGATATGTAATAGCTCTGGTGAGAGTCTCAGACAATGATTCGGGAGCGAATGGAAAAGTGCAGTGCAGACTGCAAGGCAATGTGCCTTTTAGACTCAACGAGTTTGAGAGCTTCTCCACCTTACTTGTTGATGGCCGACTGGATAGGGAGCAGAGAGACACGTACAATTTGACCATTCTAGCCGAGGACAGCGGATACCCCCCGCTTAGAAGCTCGAAATCCTTTGCAGTGAAAGTAACAGATGAAAACGACAATCCCCCGTACTTCACCAAGCCACACTATCAAGCCATGGTCCTCGAAAATAACGTCCCAGGTGCGTTTCTGCTGGCGGTGTCCGCCAGGGACCCTGACCTGGGCATGAACGGCACCGTGTCCTACGAGATCATTAAATCGGAGGTGCGGGGCATGTCTGTGGAATCTTACGTGACCGTGAACTCAAACGGTGAAATATACGGCGTTAGGGCTTTTAATCACGAAGATACGCGGACCTTTGAGTTTAAAGTCTCTGCGAAGGATGGGGGAGATCCACCTTTGACCAGCAACGCCACCGTGCGCATTGTTGTACTGGATGTAAATGACAACACACCTGTGATGACCACCCCGCCCCTGGTGAACGGCACCGCGGAGGTGTCCATTCCTAAAAATGCTGGAGTTGGTTATTTGGTTACACAAATAAAAGCTGATGATTACGATGAGGGGGAAAATGGAAGGTTAACGTATTCAATTTCAGAAGGAGACATGGCATACTTTGAAATAGACCAGATAAACGGCGAGGTGCGAACCACAAAGACGTTTGGGGAGAATGCGAAACCATCCTATCAAATAACCGTGGTGGCGCGTGATCACGGCCAAACTTCTCTATCTGCCTCTGCCTATATTGTCATTTATCTCTCTCCTGATCTCAATGCACAGGAGCAAATCGGACCCGTCAACCTGTCTCTCATTTTCATCATTGCCCTGGGTTCTATTGCAGTCATCCTGTTTGTCACAATGATCTTTGTGGCAGTCAAGTGCAAAAGGGATAACAAGGAAATCCGAACATACAACTGCAGGTACCCAAACAATTTTTGATACATCTGTTTAACGCTAGTTCAGTGTGCGAATTATTCACTGACCTTCAGAGGGTTTTAACCACAAAAACGAGCTAGAATCAAGAAAAAGGCCTAACCATAAAAATCGTATTGCGCTAAACACTTGCTCACGAACATAAATTGCGTTCGCCTGAGGTGGTAGCCATAGCAACAGTAAGTTAACTCGAGGTCTCAACCTTATGGTCAGTATGGAATATAGGCAAAACATAAGTAGGCCTACTGTTAGTTGTATCACATTTAACATTAATAACTTTATCAAAGGTTATTTACATATCATAAAACAGTAACAACAAAAAGGTTGTTTATTTCAGTCAGCTAGTTAGGGGCGCCAAAGAAAAAAAATTGTGAGACAGACTAACCTCCAGTAATTGCGCCTCAACAATTATTGACAAAAAATTCCCCAACATTGTTTTAAAGAAAATATAAAATTGTGGGTAAATGTAAAAATGTATAGGCCTAAAAAATTTTTTGTTTTTACTTGTGGACATTCAGGCCTTACTTATTGGGTCAGACCTCACCAACCCTCCCATAATTCGCACCCTGGTCTAGTTATCAAGCATATACTTGTATTTCTACCGGAAATGAATCAATACCCAGCATACAATGATTAAGACATAAAGATAGAGCATGTTTGATGTGTATCTTGGCTGTGCACGCGCTGTGTCTTCAACTGTGCATGTGCTTCGGGCCTTGCTCTGCTGTTGCCATTGCTGATAAGAGAAGGAAGCATAACTGGAGATCATTACACTTGTTTATTGCGATTATTTTGTATACACTATTGTAAATATATATATAAAAAAATAACATATTCATCAATTATGATGATATATATGAGGAGGCCCTTACATGAGCATAAAATAAATATATGATACTAATAAAAAAAATCAGATATACTGTAATAGCATTACAAAACACCACAGAAAATGTCACAGTAATTTGACCTTTTTATTTGATTTAGAGTTTTCAAAGTTTCATTTCAGCTTTCTTTATCATAATCCAGATCAAAGTGGCAGAAGAAAAATACATTGAGCTTAAATTTAATTGAACTTAAGTTTAGTAAGTTGATTTATTTATTATTATTATTTCTTTTTACTGTAATTGCCATTAAGACATTTTTTTAAAAAGTACACAAGCTAATGATAGAGTCATCTAAAATAAGTGAAATTAACCATTGCTTGATGACTGAAGGGTAAGCATAGGCCTTTCCTCATACACACTCTCTGCATTGAGACTGGTGTTTGCATAAATTATTGGTGTAATTTTATGACCTTTAGGGTCCTCTCTCAAATTTGCGCTAATCAAAATATTGACTTGTTGCTCAAATTTGGAGATTTCATTTATGATTTGGCAACATATTATGGTTGTGGTCGTAGAGGTCACTAAATCAAAATACAATAGCAAGGCCATGGCAACCAAATGTTACTGTCAACGATCACACTATCATAAAAATAATTACACTCATAAAAGGTAAATCATGCAAATGTATAGCACGGTAATAGTCTTTGACACATGGTGTGTAGGGGAGAATATTATTTTGTTAATCTACTGTAGTATGAATACTTATCAATCTGTAACATTGGCCACTGTGTTGATTTCCCTCTGCTACATTACTACTCAACATTTCCATATAAATTGCTTTTGCAAATTTAACCCGAAACCATTACCATATTTTTACCTCAAATTGTTGTTGACGTTTCTGTCTTGTAATGCAACAGCATACAGTAAATGATCCATCTTAACAAAGACGTATGTAAGTTAACATTTTCAAGAAGGCTACATCGTGATCACGATGGTTAGGCACGCAGAGTATCTACCTCGCCGTGATCGGAAGATGGTTAGAGATGGCCTGCGTTTAGATTGCTGTCGTTAACATTTATTTTCCTCTCCAGATAGAAACCTGATGGAGGCTTTCAGCTCTCCCAACAGGGGGTTAGTGAGAGTGCTTCATAGGGTTTTCTTCAGCTGTGCTCACTGTCTCTCCTTTCTGGCTCATCTGAGATTCTTTGGATTGTCTTCACTATGACGAGAGCCAAACACATATGACCAGACAGACCATAGAGACATGTGTTTATTAACACAGTTAAATACAAGACCCTGGTGCTGTTGCAGTTTACAGAACAAAAACAAATGGTTTTAATAAAACAACACAGACAACGACATCCAATAATATTCATTATGATAATTAACATCGTACTGTACATATATAGAGCCTTTATTAAGTAACCGGTCTAAGTCTCTTCTCACATATGTGACCCTGGACCACAAAACCAGTCTTAAGTTTCTTGGGTATATTTTTAGCAATAGCCAAAAAAACATTGTATGGGTCAAAATTATCGATTTTTCTTTTATGCCAAAAATCATTAGGATATTAAGTTAAGGCCAAGTTCCATGAAGATATTTTGTAAATTTCCTACTTAATTTTTGATTGGCATTAAGCATTGCTGAGGACTTCATTTGGACAACTTTAAAGGCGATTTTCTCAATATTAAAATTTTTTTGCACCCTCAGATTCCAGATTTTCAAATAGTTGTATCTCGGCCAAATATTGTCCTATCCTAACAAACCATACATCAATGGAAAGCTTATTTATTATTCAGCTTTTAAAAAAAGACCCTTATGACTGGTTTTGTGGTCCAGGGTCACATATTTGCAATCTGCTTTGTCACTAACTCTCTAATGAAAGAAACAAGCTCACTATTCCTTCAATGTCATAATAGTAAATTTTTTCGACCAGCTATTAAGCATGCCTTGGACTGCCTAACTTTTTTTCTGTGCTTTAACTCGCATCGAGAAAAAAAAAGCTTTTAGATGCCTCCTAAAAAGATAAGCTCCTGCACCGTTATAATTTTTCCGAGCCAGAAAAAAAGTAAGGAGCAGGGAGACACAGCCTGAATCCAAATGAAAAGCACAGAAAGAGGAGCTTTGTGTTGTGCAGGCAGAGTGAGCGTACCATTAAGCCCAAGCCGTACACGTTAGGGTGAATACGTGCCCTTCAGAGGACATAAAAAGAAATAAGTGCAAGATTGTTTCAGGCTATAAGATCTAATGATCCTCATGGGAAAAAGCGAGAGGGGTCAGTGGGGAATAGCTAAGACAAAGATTGTTTACTACACCGACTCTCCTTATGAGTGCTCAAGTTTAAGTTTAGATTGCAACCCAAGCATCCTTTGGGGCAAGATCTCAAAATTTCTCATTTACTGTGATTAGAATCAAAACCCTCAAATCAAGTTAGCAGTAGCCACAGAGCATAGCTCAGAGAATTGAGATTCACAACCCACCTGCCAGCGGGCTTGTTTGTAACACAAGTGAAAAAAAGCAGACAAATGCGGGCCTAACTTTGAATATTATTACTTACACTCGCAATGACGCTTGGTATCATTTGTCGCTGTGTGTGCTTCTGTGGTTTGGCATGTTTGCATTGTGTATGTGTGTTTGTGACAAGTCGAGCCGCCGAGCATGGAAATGCAAACAAATGAGGGACGTCGGCTCCATTGGCGGCCGGAGGTCGCTCGAATGTGGCCACTCTCTCTTGCGCCGCCATTGAATATGGGTCTGGCACCTCAGCCCAAGCCAGGCCAGGACCTGGCGCCGGCTCTGCGTGCAGTGAGGAACGCAGAGCACTGCTTTATTGAGTCTGTTCAGTTTCTTGTACCTGCGCAGGGTGGCGGAGTACTCCTACGGCAACCAGAAGAAGTCCAGCAAGAAGAAGAAGCTGAGCAAGAACGACATCCGTCTGGTGCCGCGGGACGTGGAGGAGACGGACAAGATGAATGTGGTGAGTTGCTCGTCTCTCACCTCTTCGCTCAACTACTTCGACTACCACCAGCAGACTCTGCCGCTGGGCTGCAGGCGCTCCGAGAGCACCTTCCTCAACGTGGAGAACCAGAACTCCAGGAATGCCGCACCCAACCATGGCTACCACCATACCTTCACAGGGCAGGGCCCTCAGCAGCCTGACCTCATCATCAACGGCATGCCGCTGCCTGAGGTGAGATTTGCTCCAGTCTGCTCCATCCTTCAGCCTGCCACGGCTACCAGCGTCAAGGGAGGGTGGGGTCGAGGGAAATCCGTCGCAGGGCCGCTAACCCAACCTGATAGATAGCTGTTACTTTTACTGGAATTTGTGGTTACTGTTTTTTTATACTGCAAGATAGGAAAGTGGAAATACTGTATGGTTTCTTTTAACTACGCCTTCAATGGTGCTTACATATCCGTGCTTACATGCATTATTTGTCAATGTTGGAAACCTAGGAATAGGTGTATTAAAAAAGTGAGCAAGCCGTCATTGGACAGTTGCCAAAGTGGATTATTTGGCCACCTCTGTTTCTGCTCTCTCTTTTTCATGCTGAGCAAAAGAGCTGTAGCCTGAACATCTGCCAAATGCACTGACCTGGCTAATCGGTAGCGCTGCATGTAATTTTAGGTGCAACCATTAAGAACAATTATTGCCGAAACAACGATTTGCACTTAAATTCTTAATCTCCATAGGATTATGGATTATATGGATATTATATTATATGGATTTCTGAAATGTAAAGGCAAAGTTACATCTGTTTGCAACAGAGTTACACACATGATAAGCAGGCTTTATGCCAGGGTAATCAGCAGTGACATAATCAACCAATCAGGTTGTTTTAAGACCGCAGTGGCAATGCAATGACAAAGTAGGCACTATATTAACTTTTTATAATGCATCTTATTTTTTAATGATAAACATTTTTCAGGTTCTGCAAGAGAATGATTTATCATTTATAAAAATAAGATGGATCATGAAAATGTTGTATTTTGTTTGTTTATTTAGTACTGCCCTGATTAAGCTCTCAAAATACAGATATTATTTGCACATATTTCACAAGACTTAAGATAAGATAAGACATAAGATAAGTTCTTATGACAGTGCAGCTTCCTCAATGAGGATGATTGGTTCACTTTTTATTTAGCTTTTTGGAAAATAAAATAAATGTGTACTTTGAATGCAGTGCAAGTCACTTTGAATAAAAGCACCTGCCAAATGTATAAATGTAAATGTGTAAACGTCTTACATAAATTATGAAGGGCAATACTAAATAATAAAGACTTGATATATATTGCAAGCAGTATGCAAACTTATGCACTCAACTGTAGTGAGTGGTATGGCTGTTTGAATTGTCAGGTGGTACACTCTTAAAAATAAAGGTGCTGCACGATGCCATAGAAGAACCTTTTTGTCTAAATGGTTCCATAAAGCACCTTTAACATCTGAAGAACCTTTCTGTTTCGCAAAAGGTTCTTTGTGGTGAAAGAAGGTTCTTCAGATTATAAAAAAGGTAAGAAAGAGATTGTTCTTGAAATAACCTTTGACTGAACGGTTCTTTGTGGAACCAAAAATGGTTCTTCTATGGCAGGGGTCGGCAACCTTTTCGGCATGATGTGCCATTTTTTATTTTTCTGGTTAACCACTGTGCCAATCACCATTAATCACCATTTTATATTAATGCGCTGCTTTAATTGATGCACACACACCACTCATACAGAGATCTGAGATCGCGCGCTATGCAAAAAGTAACATTCAGAAACTCATAAACTTGTTGTCAGCGCTGCCACGCGACTTTTATTAATCGATACTGAATCACTACATTATATTTCTCAGCAAATATTTAAGAATAATATAAGAATATATTATTATTTTAAGTTACTAAACTCAGCTTCATTGTTTGTAGAAAGAGACACAGATGCAGACAATTTACACATATCTCTCTCGGTCTCTCTCTCTGTCTCTCTCTCAAAATGGGCATATTTGAGAAAAAAACATTAGAGTAGTTTGCATCTGTCGGTCATTTAACATTTCTATCGTAAAACGTATCGTATTCGCGCTCTGCTTCTGTGAATAGTAAACCCGCCTACTTTGATTTGATCGGCCATCTCAGTCATTTTGACATAATGACTATGTTTACATGGACATCAGTAATCTAATTATTTACCTTATTTTAAATAAGCCAATATTATAATTATGGTGTTTACATTAGTTGCTTTTAGAATATTCTTTTCATGTTCCCGTTTTACATATTATAGTACATAGTTCGATTAATGGCACATGTCATTACGTCACATGTTACGACATCCGACGTCCCCTCCGGAATTTCATGTATAAACATATAGTTCGTCTTCGTGATGATGCCATGTACAGTTTTGGGTGTTTCATTTTTAATTTTATGAAAGCTTCAAGTGCAGTTAATTATTTGTATGTGCATACAGACGATGGCGATGTTAAAGCTCTTTTATTTGCCGTCAAATGGTTGACCACTATCCTGTCGCAAAATGCGGCGAAAAGTCCTACACAACGGTAATAATGTGATGTTTACGTCTATAATGCACTTCAGTAATGCGACTAAAATATGAATACTCCACGTCTTAATTCGATTTCTGTTTACTTCGAATATGACTTTAGCCAGATTAAGGTAATAAAAAATCTCTGTTTACATGGTAGATTCCTAATCAGAGTATTGTCTTAATCCTGTTAAAATCGGATTATTGTTGTCCATGTAAACGTAATGACGAGCGCTGTTAGACCGCTGAGGCTTTGATCTGAAGCGCCTAGTATGTGCAGCGGTCGCGCGCACATCCGTAGACTAGCGCAAGTTAATTCTCACACTTTAATAGTATTTATAGCTCCTAACAGGCCGTGTGACTATGAGAAGTTATTGGCTCAAAATGTACGTCAGTATGCAGTTTTCCCTATTGCTCGCGTGCCAGCGATTATCCCTCTGCGTGCCACTGTTGGCACGCGTGCCGTAGGTTGCCGACCCCTGTTCTATGTCATCGCTGTAAAGAACCTTTTGAAGCACCTTTATTTTTAAGAGTGTAAACAAACAGACTGAGCAGAGCACACATAAGGAGTTTTACTGCTGGCAAAATGAGATGTTAAATTTGCACAGATCCATTGATTGGCTGATCCAGCACTCTCCGTTGTTTGCAAAGCCTTTGGAAATCAATGAAACACAGTTAATATAGCACTAATATATTAAAGTTGTCACCAGATGCTCAAAGTCGTACCGGAGATATTTAAAATCCAACTAGTTAATGGAGGAATATTCAGATAGAAACCATCATCTAGGTCAGACTACACAGAGGTTAACACAACACTTAAAGCTGCACGCTGGCTGGACAAAGGAATTACGGTGTGTAACAGCAAATGTAGTAGCTAGGCATGGTAGCGTAATCCTTTAATAAAACTACCTAAGCAGCAGGATTAAAGAACATCTATATTTCTCAACTGATGAAAAGACAAAGAATTAACGGAGGGGGCTGGCGTGGGCTGAATAAGCCTGTAGATTGAGTGTGGTAGTACAATGAACTCTAATGCAAAGCTTTGTTTTTTCACTGCAGCATTAGAAGAGGGAGAGAGAGAGAGAGAAAGAGAGAGAGAGACGGTGTATATATGCATCTTAATGTCAGATGTCTGGGCCCAGCACATTTTCCAATTTCATATAGGCCAGTGATTGGCCTGATAAAGGTGTGGGTTTATTTGTATGCTGGTTTCATCATGCGCGGCGCTCCACCTGACATTGACAAACATCTCTTTGACCACATTTCTGCATATTTCTCCACCAGAGGCCAAAGACGGACTGACTACAGTCGGCCATATACTTTTCCCCTTTGGTGTGACATTTACAAAATACAGTGGCTTCCCATTCAACATGCTGTATATGAAAAATGTTGTCAGTATAATTACACATCCATTTATGTGGGGCACAATCAAATATTGCAGCTGTTAAATGACCGATAATAGCTCTGTCATGCATTACGAGCTTGGGCTTGGAAGCGTTTGACTCTACAAGTCAGTGTTTCCCAGAGGTCTGCTGAGGACACACTGGTTGGTACACAGTTGTGATTAACCGTGCATTTCCTTGCCCTGAAAAATCAAGGCCTGAGGTAGGCCTGTCGCGATAATTAAATAACCGTCTAATCGCGATTATTTGATCTAACCGTGGTTGTTTCAGACAACCGCAATTATTGTGCTTTTTATACGAGACAAGGGGGAATCATACACCATAAATTTTTTTTGTGTGTGTGCTACAACATGGGATTATTCAATGCATGCTGATGAACTTTTATCATAGTTTATAGTTATATGGAAACGAAAGTGGTTAACATTCAACCCGTTCTTTATCATCGGTAGTATTATTTGTGATTTGAATTTTGTGAATGGGAGTTTCTCTTTTGCTGTGTTAAGCCGCGGGCTTCGGATGCTTTCACTTTCGAATTTGCGATCTTGTTGTCACTGTTTTGCTTACATACATCTACACACCTTTAATTTTTAAAACCTTAAAACCTTCGTGCTCGTGCTGACGCGGCGAGAATACTCTCTAAGCGCTGTTTCGTTATGCTTTCAGTTTCGTTTGCCGTTTGATGTTTCTCAAATGCAACAGAAATTGCAGCGCTTATGAGTTGACCAACGCGGTGGTCGCGCCAGTGCGACCGCACACAAAATTTTGTCGCACAGGCAGAAAAAATGGTCGCAGTCTGGAGCCCTGCTATATCATCTGAAGCCATTCCATAAATGTGAGGGACAGAATTCAGAAACTCATCTTCCTTCTGCTGCAGCTGTCAATCATTCTCCGCTCAGCATTCAAACAGCACGTCATGCTCAGTTATGACAGTCAGCACGGTAAAACTCTCTCCAAGATGATATATTCCCATTATAATACTTTAAGTTTAAGGAAGGAATGAATTATCACAAACAAAAAGATTATTAGAATCCTTTCTTTTCTCATGATTTCTATCTTATATTCATGAATGTATTTTGTAAGAATACAAATAGTTAACAATAAACATGTTTAAATTGTATAATGTGCACCAAAGATTTTTTTTCAAGATATTGTTTTTGCTGCTAAATTATACAGTCAGCTAGTTTAATTTCATAGCTTATATATATAGTGGATTGCATTTAACAAAGGGTTTAAAAGAGTGACCATTAGTTCCACAAACACAGTATTGATATTCTGTAGT